CAAGGAAGTAGACTTCAGACATGAAAATAACTTTGGAATAGGACAAGGAAGTAGGCTCAGATATTTTGGTAATCCTGATTAGCCTTTAGAAACAGTGATCAAGGGAGTGTTTACAGAACTGTTTATTTGCCTTGCTTGTTCTTTGACTATTTATGTTTATTGTCTTTCTTGTTCCTTGACTATTTGCATCTATTGTATTGCTAGTTCCTCAACCTAGAATTGACCTTAATACTTGCATGTAATTAAAATGGTATAAAAGCAAAAAGGAGGAGGGGAATGGGACAGGGGTTTTCTAGGGAGGGGAAATAGAAAAAGGGGATGGCATCTGAAATGTAAATAAATAAAATATCCAATAAAAAATTAAAAATTAGAAAAAAGAAAACAGAAAAAAAGCAAAAAAAGGAGGAAGAAACAACAAACAAAAACAGTGCTTAACTCACTTCTATGAGGAAATATTTAATTAAAGCACTTAATTAAGAAGTGCTAATTTTGGCTCACAGTTTGAGGACATTATACATCTTGGCAGGGAAGGCAAGGCAGTAGGAAAAATGCAGCTGCTCAACGGGCACCCTAATTCAGGAAACAGAGAGAGAGGAATGATGGGGCTCAGCTCATTTTTTTCTTTGTACTCAGTCCAGAACCTCAGTCCATACAAGGTGCTGCCCAAATTTAAAGTAAGCCTTCCCACTTCAATGAAATTAATCTATAAATTACCTCCCAAAAATGTGAAAGGGAGATTTATATCCTGTCACCTTTACCATATTTACCATCAAGAATTAAATGTAGCTAATTTAGATTGCAACCTAAATAATTAAACTTCTTACTGAACATCATGCTGCCAGCTCAACCTTTTGTCATAGATTTTATTGGAAACTCATGTAGTTTAATAGACACTTGTATGTTTTTAATCAATTGTGTCTTACTTTTGTCAGTGTCTTCTAATATGTCTAAGTACATATCCCAATATGTATCTGTATTTTCTGACTGAAGTCTCATAAAATCTTTAAGCATTTATAATAGTCTAGTCCTTTCCATGGTCAACAAGCATGCATACCAATATATGCCAGAGATCTACTTGGTTCTCTTTCCTAAGGAACAACCCATTTTGTTCCTTAAGACAAAGCATCTCTTGTTAAGTAGGTTAGACTGAATTGCTAGCAAATTTCGGATCTGCCCTTCTCTGCCTCCCCAATGTTGGGGTCAAAAGTGCCTGCTCTACATCCAGCTTTTTCATGAGTAATAGAAAGATGGAATTCAGGTCTCCATGTGTGTAGGACAAGGGCTTCATAGGTAAGTCACCTTGCCAGTTCAACACATGGTTCTTTAAAAAGTTTTACTTATTTGTAAAATAAATTTTATTAAATTAATTTTAAATGTTGAAAGTTTCAAAAGCTCTTGAAACCACACAGTTGAAATCTTAGTATCACATGTTGGTACCGCCTAGCAAAGAGCTTACCTACTTCCTATTGTTGACATCCAATAACCACAGTCCTAGTTAAAAATGTAAAAACCCAAGTACTAGTGCACTGCATCATACGTTATTGTCTTATAATGGCTAGTAAATCAAATTATATGACCATTTATTAATTTAAATCATTGACTTTGCTCTAAATCCATATTTTTAATCAATCTCTTCTCGAATTTAAAAACAAATATCTAAGATTCATGTAAAAGAGTCTTATGGTCAGCCTAGAAGAATTCATTTTATCCCTAGTGAAATACACCAGAAAAGACAGATAAGCTGATTTAAGCTTGTGGGTAAGGGGAGGATTAGTCTTCTTGGGCTTTCTTCCAGCATACAATTCAGACATTTAAGCATTTCCTTAAATACAGTACCAATGATTTATTTTTTTTCCTTCAAATGTGGAAAAGTCCTTCAGAAGACAGAACCATGAGCATGCATATGGATGATGACTAAAATAGCTATCTTGTGAAATTGTTAATACGGATGTGATTTTTATTCAACAGGAGTACTGATAAGATTCTGACCTGCATGTCAGCTTCCTTTGGTATGTTGCACCTCTGTGGTGTTAGGCTCTGGAGGTTATTCATTGTTGGGGAAGCAGTTCTTCTTGCCTTGCCAAAGTCTAGAGAGTTCATGATAGTATCATTATTTTTAATATTCATTTTTATTGGATATTTTAATTATTTACATTTCAAATGTTATTTCCTTTCCAAGCTTCCCCTTGGGAAACTCCCTATCCCATCCCCCCTTCACCTGCTTCTATGAGAGTGCTCCCCCACCCACTCCCTCACTCCCGCTTCCCTGCCCTGGCATTCCTCCAGACTGGGGCATTGAGCCTTCACAGGACCAAGGGCCTTTCCTCCCATTGATGCTTGACAAGGCCATACTCTGCTACATGCATGGCTGGAGCCACAGGTCACTCTATTAGTGGAGAGATTACACATACTATGACACCTGTGTTGCAAGCATGAAGTCACTGTGGAGTTGATTCTGTCTTTCTAGCTTTATGTGGATCCTGGGTGAACTTGAGTTCAATAATCTTAAACTTTCAGGTTTGTATGGCAAGCTCTTTTGTCTGCCATCTCACAAACAACAGACAATATCCTCAATGTTAAACATGACTCTGAAAAGCAATAATTATACGTGAATATTATTTTCAAGTTAAAAATAAAAAAATAGTTTCTTTTTATTAAAGAGAAATAATAGTTCTGTAATAGATTATATAAATTATCTTATATAATATATATACATACATAATAATTGTATAAATGAGTACAAAATAAACTGAAGAATTTTCTTTTGTTTATTTATATAATGAATATCATTTAATTTTTATAATAAAACAAAATAGACAAAGAAGAAATGGTTCATTAGTATTCAAGTTAACAGAGTATAGTAAAAATATGTTCAGAATCACATATTTTAAAATATCCAGTTGTATAAATTAGAACAGGTTTCTAACGTCAATATACTGTTAGGAAATAAATATTAGGCAAAGATTTGTTCAATGCATGCATCTTCATTTGTGTGGATACCTGTGCATGTATAGTATTGACCTATAATATCTCAGTTTGATCAGGCAGGACATCAAGAAAGAACCAGGGACCTGCATGTCAACATCTTATTAGTGCTAAGATTTTACTCCTGTGCCACTAAATCCACCTTTTATACTGTTTAACACTTTATTTCTTACTATGTGTATGTATGTGCATGTATCATATCATGTATGTGGAGGTGAAAAGACAACATATGAAAATCAATTCTCTTCCTCCAATCTGTGGGTCCAAGGACTCAAATTCAGGTACTTAGGCTTGGCAGCAAGTACATTTATCCATTAAGTCATCTTGTTCCACTCCTTCTATATGGGTTGTACTAACTCAGATCCTAACATTCATGTAAAAGTATTTTACCACTTGAGCTCTAATCCTTGTCCCTTTTCCTTATTATGCTTAGATGCTTCTAAACACTAACTGGAGTATTTTACAAAGAAATGATCCTTTCCACATTGAACCTTGGTATTTTACACATCTTTCATTTCCAGATATGAATGTATTTGTCTTGTTCACTTTGCTCTTGGAACAGCAGTGGCAGTGATTTAAAATTGAAATGAGTCATTTTGGAATAGGCAGAACAAATGTGACACTTTTCATGTTCAGACAGTCAAACTTCCCATTTTGAGTCAAATCATAATTGTTTTATAAGTAACAGTACAGAAATTAAAAACAAAACAAACAATAGAAAACTCTGCCCAGAGTGGAGAGTTTTCTAGGGTCTAGTGTTGTTAAGGAAAATATTCTTTGAAGGCCCTTAAGATGCTGTTTCTGGGGAAAGCGGAGCCAGTGCTCATCTTTGATTCTTTCAAGAGACCTGGTGAAAGAGGTAATGAAATTATTAATGATAACTCAAAGGTGAAGTAGCTGTGAGATAACAGGATGCCAGTTCAGCATTTGTCACTCAATGGGCCAGGTCATAGGTGACTGTAAGAGACATCAGAGTCATACCAACCTGAAGTGATACATTTTGTATACATGAATTAAGAGAAAAGGAGAGAAGAGATATCAGTGTTCTCAAATATAATCATGAAGCTAGGTTTCATGTCAGACAACTGCAGGGACTATGTAGAGAATGTTGCCTGAGAAAGCTGGGACTTTCATGGTGAGTTGAATTTGCTGATCAACAGAAGTGGGGTGAAGTTTTTCCTTCCCAGACCCATTCTCTGTTCTCCAGGTCCTTTCATTGGTGGTTTCTCATGCTTTGCAGTCTCCTCAGGGGATAACTGTCTTTATAAAAACTAGTACCACTACTGTCTCTCACTGGAGTTATTATGACACATTCCAGTGGCAAGGATAATAGGGATTCCAAGAAAACAATTGGAAGCACAGCATTCTTGGTCAAGGAGAGAAAAAAGAATTGATACTCCCTGCGAAGCACTTACTCAATATTCCTTGATGGGCAAGCATGGGAGGGAATGGGCTGGAGACATCAGGATAAAGAGTCCAATAAGGCCCAAAACACTAGGCTAAGGCTGTAAGTTAGAACCTACTAATAAATTTTAACATTAGTACCCTAAAAAGTAACACAAATAAAACTAGTAGACATCACTTAGTGACAATGTGAAGCCTCCTTCTTGCCTCTTTCAGATGCTGTAGACTTTTTATATCTTCAGTTTTCAAACTGAGGGCTGGGGATGAGACCTGGTGACTACTTGAAGCCTGTGGAAGTCTTTCATTGTGTGAAAGATAACTGCTTTGCAGGTCAAGGTTCTGTCCTGGGATTTTGGATTCTCTCTCTAAGTTAGTTTCTCACTTCTGTGACTACATACCTGACAGAAACACCTCTAGATAAAGGGTTCATTTGGCTCCAGTTGGAGACTACAGACTACCATGGTAGGAATTGGAAGAAGAGAAATGAGTGCTGGGAGCCTGTCCAGACCTTTGCAGAACAGACACTTGTTGTCCTGGACAAGCTACCTATCTAGGTGTGGCACAAAACTGTTGGTCTTCTCAGATTCCTTTCTTTCTTTCTTTTTTCAGAGAGTGTAAGGGTACTAACCATTCAGATGTTCACAGGTGAGAACATTGAAAGGAAACTTAGACTCTCTCCTCTGTGCCACTTACTGTCACATATGTGACAAGGTAACCATACCTACAATGCTTCCAGAGACAGTTTAAAGAACATTTTAACATTACAGTTATTACAGAATTGTATATATATATATATGTTGGGTGATGCTCTAAATTCTTGCCTTAATTTCCCTAAATAAGGAATAATAGCCAGGAATTGTAAGCCAAATACTCTTATTTCAGAAGTATGCATCACAGTAAGACAAATGAAACTAGGACAAGAATTTTCTCCATTTTGGGCACAATGGGAAAATTTAATATATGGGTCACAGAATAGCAGATATTATTCACAGTGTCCTAATTCAGAAGAAGGGATTATTTATAAACTATGGGAGAAACTTGAAAGCTTTATATCATGACACCAATAGACAATGAGCAAGTTATTTAAAGGAATTTCCAGAAAATCAAAACAAACAAAAAACTCAAAATGTTTTTAAAAAATGTTAAAAGAGATCAGCCATACTGAAAATCAATAATGTATATTTAAGTAGCAATGAGAATTTACTTAGTATTTATTACCCTGGCAAGAAGCACGGAACTGAGTAAAATCAGGAATGTGCATGTGCTGTAAAGCCAGCTGGTAGAGACAGAAATTAAAGCTACCTGCCACAGTGTGCAGGGAACCAAGATAATTCTAAAAGAGGTCACCATGGAAGCACATTTGGCAATGGTGCATGGAGCTGTTTTGTGAACTTACACAAGCATAAGTTATATGTACACATACATTACCTGTTGACAGAGATTGGACATTGAAGATCCAGAAAGTGGGATCTGACAAGCAGGAGCTACTGTTTCTCTTACAGTTAATTAACACTGCTATCGTATCATTGAAAGTAGCCTTATAGAAATGATGCAAAGGATGTGACCATAATCCAGCAAACTATGGTTCCCAAAAATGAAGTTGTAAAACTAGAAGATAATCCAATGTTTAAAGAGTATTTGCTGCTCATCCAGGGGACTCAAATTCAGTTCCAAACACCCATGCCACATAAGTCACTACTGCCTGTAACTTCAGCTGTAGTGGATCCGACTTTCTGTTCTGGACTCCACAGGTACATGCAAAGAGATACAGGCATATATACACAAACATGTGTAAAGAGGTAAAAAAAACCATATATATATATATATATATAGAGACAGGAACAGAGAGACAAGGACAGAGAGACAGGGACAGAGAGACAGAGACAGACAGAGAGAGACAGAAAGGGACAAGAGAGGGAAGCAGACAGACAGAGAGAGACATACACACAAATACACACAGACATACACAGAAACATATGCACCTCAAGCACACACAAACACAAAGACACACACACTTTAAAGTCTTAAAAACTAAACTTTAAATAAATAAATATAATGAAGTGGGCTGTTGGGCTGCTTTAGTACAAGCTATCATTTCTTCTTTATCTGCTCTTCTATAACTCATTCCAAAATTTAATTTTTCAGGCTTAAAAATTAGCAATGAGAAATATAAAATATGTGTTGGATTTATATGTATTATCTTCATTATTAATAGGAAAGAGAATGGAAGTACTATAAATAAACAATAAAGAAGAAGAGAATGAAGAAACTGAGCCAAGTTATACACGACAGCATTCAGTTCTACACCTATATCAGGCTCACTTTTGTCTGGGTGGTGTGTGTGTGTGTGTGTGTGCCTGTGTGTTTCAAGGTACCAGTGTATGTATATTTTATGTTTTTATATGTGTATGAGTATGTGTACACATGTAATTTGCATGTGTGGAATGTGAGTGTTATCAAGTGTATTGATGTATGTATTTGTATTTCACATTTGTTTGTGTGTGTGTTGAATGCATTAGTGTGTCTTTGTGTTTGTTTGTATGGCACATGCAGATATGTGTGTAGCTCCCTTTACTTGTGAACACACATTATGACTAGAGAAGGACAGATAATCAAGTATCATGCTCTAAGACTCTTTGCCTTAGTCTCTTGAGACAGTGTCTCTCACTGAACCTACAGCTAGAATGGCAGCCAGCAAGTCCCTGTGATCCTATTATTTCTATTTTCTACAGTGCCCAGGCTTCAAGAAAGTATGCAGCTATAACCTACTTATGACATTACATATGTGCTAGGGAATCAAATTCAGGTCCTCATGCTTATGCAATAAGTGTCCTTACCCACTAAGCCAATCCCATCAGCCTCTCATTTAATGGTTTTATTAAGAAATGGCACAGATGCTATGATGTTTTTAATTTTCTCAAAATTTCATGAATATTTTCATGAAAGGCAGCCAACTGTTCAAAGTTACCATGAAACACGGAGCTTTGACAGTGGGGAATGACTCTCAGTTCTTTTTATTCTTTTAGTGTCGGTCCCGTCTTAAAGTGAACATGACACTTTATAAAAATAGCAGCATATTTTTTCTCGATCGAGACATAGTGATTTGGAAAATGCCCAAGGGAAGGAGAAAATTGTCAAGCTTTGTGCACAATAGCTTGCAGTGTTAGAGACAGCACCTCTGATAATGAGATAATGGATGCCTGTTTTACCAGAGACCCTGGCATCTGGTTGTGAAGGAATAAGCAATGCTTGTGTTACCATTGGAAAAGAGTGGACAGATAAAGATTTTGGAAATATACATACTCATTTCCAGGCTAAAGCTTTAATGTCTTGTCAGCTTCAATTTGCATGTATTACAGTTATTATGGTAATTCCCATGTTGAGGGGTTAACTTAAGAACTCCTGACTCAGTTTTTTGAACGAGGTGAGTGTATGTGCACAAATATGCCCCCTGATTGTGGCAGACATTTCTGTGGCACAAATGTCTGTCCTTCCAAACTACTATTGCTTGCTGTATCAGTTATTTTTCTCACTGTTGGTGCCTGACAAAAACAGCATAAGAAAGAAAGGTTTTACATTGGCTCACAGCTGGAGCACAAAGTTCCAGATGGTGGGTGTGGTGGTTTGAATATGTTTGGCCCAGGTGAGTGGCACTATTAGGAGGTGTGTCCTTGTTGTAGTAGGTGTGTCCTTGTTGGAGGAGGGGTGTTACTATGGAGCTAGGCTTTGAGACCCTCTTCCTAGCTGCATGAAACAGTCTGCTCCTGGCTTCCTATGGATGAAGAAGTAGAACTCATTGTTCCATCCAGCCTGGATGATGCCATACTTCCTGCCTTGATAATAAGGGCTAGGACCTCAGAACCTGTAAACCAGTCCCAATTTTAAATGTTTTCCTTTTTAAGTGTCGCCTTTACTGTGGTATCTTTTCATAGCAATGAAAATCCTAAGACAGTGGGAAAGGCATGATAACATGACTGTGGGGTAGCTGCTCATATCATATCTGTAACAGGAGACAGAGAGGACCCCTGATGCTCAGCTGTGTTTATTCTTGTTTAGGCAGTCCAGCTCTTCAGTCTATGGTATGGTACCAAAAATTTAAACTGATTCTTCCCTATTCATCAACCCTAGCAGTGGGTTAGCAACTCAGTGGCATGTGCAGAGGCTTGACTCTTAGGGAATTTTAGATACTGTCAAGTAGACAATCAATATTAATTTTCATGCTCTCCATATTTCCATTTAAGACAGCATGTTTATACATAGTGCCGACTGAACAAAAAGGGAAGATTAGTATCACAAAAGCCTGACAAGTTTCATGAACTATCATCAGGATTGTCTTAAAATGCAAAGGTCTGCAGCATCTGCAGTTCCCATTGTAAACAGTCAGGAAATATTTTAATAGACAAGACATATAAAGAAAATGTTTTACTAATAAACTAGAAAATGACTGAATTAGAAACATAGCAGAGAAGAGCTTTGGAGTAAACATATTAAAATGCATAAAAAGTTCATAAATCACTTTAGAAATACCCTTTGAAAAGACTGAAGAATGTAGAGAAATACAAACAGCACAAGAGACACACTATGGTGGCCCAATGCCGTATAGCCCAGGATGCACAAGATTTCTTAGACTAACAACTACTAGGAGAATCTGTAAATTTGTGAATAACTCCTTCCAAGATGCCATGCCCTGTTTTGTATTGTTTTGTTTTGACAGCTTTCTTCATGGAAGAGAATCTGGACACACACATCTTTTCCATGTATGTAAATGGTAGTATAGGGGAATGGTAGGTGAAGTGATCTGCATAAATTTCATGTAAATAGTGACTTCTATTTCAATTCAGTTCATAAACAACTACAAATTTCCCGTTTTTGTATATTTAAACATGTGCAGGAGCATGCCTGCATAAGTATACATTTAAGTGAGTGTGCATATTTATACAGCATGTGGAGGCTCAATTGTCCTCTTCATTCTTCTTTCTTATAGTCTTTTCCTTAGATACCTCCTCATTTCATATCTTACACACACACACACACACACACACACACACACACACACACACACAGAGTTAATAATGTAGTATTCATCTTTCTCTTTCTGCTTCTACATTTTTCTACTCACCATGATGATGTCCAATTCTATCCATTTTTATGTCAGTCATATAATTCCATTTTTCTTCAATGTTAAATAGAATTCTGTAGTGTATATAGACCCCATTTTTTATACCCATTTTTCTGGTGATAAATAATTTAAGCTGATTCCAAATCTTGCCTAAAATAAATAATGCTACATAAACACGGTTGTGCAAATTCATTTGTGATGCTGACTTTGATTTCTTGGGAAGTTTTTCTTGTAGTGTAACTAGATCTTATTATAGCCATATTGTTACCCTTAAAAGAGACCTCCATGTTGATTTCCAGAGTGAATATACCTGCTGATATTTCTGCCAACTGTGTGTAAGGCAACTTCACCACATACTCACTAGCAATTTTGTATTTCCTTGATGACAGAGGATGTTAACTATTTTTCATAAATTTCATTACAATTTGTTCTTTTTTCAGTAGCTATTCATTAATCCATTTATTAGTTTGATGGTCTGATAAGAGTTTGTGCTTGATATTTTGAGTCTGTTTTAGAGTCTGGATTTTAATAAAATAATACGAACATGTCATCATTAAGGTTTGTCATACACACTTCTAGTAGTTCATGTTCATTTAAGCAGAATTAAAATCACCAAGAAAACAC